CCCACTTGGTCACTTACTCCACTGAAGGCCAAGGGGAGAACGCGGTCAGTCCTGATCACTCCATCAACTCCTGAGGATACATATTGAGTTTTTGACTTCTGACCGTCTGCCGGGTCTTTGGCAGGAGGTGCCGCTAAACCTCATCCCGACACAGCTGTTCGCTGAAGACGTGAGCGATCACATGAAGCAGTCGGTCTTTCAGGACACCTTCCAGGGAAACATGGAACAGTCCTGGGCAAGAAGACAAGCCAACGTGAACACCTTCTACTCCAGTTTTGGGGCTGCAGCGGTAGGACACAAGGCCATGGAAGTGCATGACAGCATCGCTTTACCGGACCACCTGATCGCCCAATACTACCAACAGGTGAGAAATAGCTTTACACCAGCGGTGGACACGAAATCATCACAACTTTCACATTTTTTGTCATGTTTCAACAGAAGGTGTACAGCGAAGGTGGCGGAGGCAGTCTGGCGGAGAAGGATGCTCTTTTGAAGTACAATTTTGAGGGCCAAGGCTCCTCAGCCGGCTCGGTGGGCTGCTGCAGCCTCCTGGAGAACGACAATGACCTGCAGTTCCTCGACAACCTCGACGCCAAGTTCAAGGCCCTGGCGGAAGTGTGCCGCGGCCGCAAGTTCGGAGCAAATGTCATTCCACCACCAACAAAGGTCATGACTGGACCAAGGCCGGAACTCCCGAAGTTACCTCCACTTGTCCCCGTGGTAGACCAGACTGTGACTCAAGTGGCGAAGGAAAACATGACTTGGCGGAACCAAGGGATTACTGCAATGAAGGCAGGGATGGAAAACCAAGGCCAGATGTTCTTGTTACAGCAGCAGCAGCCTGTCTATTACACCGCTGCCACTCCCATTCAGTACGTAGTCCAACCACAAGTCCAGAACACCATGCTGCTGGCTGAGGCACCAGCTACCAGTCTCCAGGGCGTAGTTCTGGCAGCACCTGCCCAAGGCATGTTAGTATCTGGCGGACACACCAAGGATGCCGGCATGGTGCTGGTTGAGAACCCCAAGGTCCAGACCAAGATCCACAGCAGACATCATCCCAGCCTCCAGAACATGGTGGTGGTAGAAAGCAAGCGCCCTGTAGGATCTGTAAAAGTTCTCAGGGGGAGCCAAACCTCACCTATGCAAGCAGGTGGAGAAGCTGAATGGATTTCTAGACCTCAGAATGTCCGTTTTGTGGAAGGGTCATCAACCATACATGAAGCTGGAAATATGTCCCTGAACAGGAACACCTCTGGATCTGTAAAGTCCTTCAACATCAAAAGCACCATCACCAAGTCCACCGGACCTCAGATGGCTTCTCCCAGAATCCCAATCTACCGCAATTAATGGCTATGAGATGTTCCCATTGCAGACGCCACTTGGATACTATTCCCATTTGGATTTTGAGCCATTCCTGCTGACTTGCTTCCTGTGCAATGAACTGAACTTAAAGAACATATTTCCTCTTTCTTTGTATGTAAAAAGTATGGTTTTTTTTTTTTTATGAGGCACTTTGCTATCAGGCATTGAGCCGCCCTCCCCTACTCTTTAAGAACTGGAGCGCCTCGCTGTCTCATGGTTGTGCAAGTTGCTCGTTGCCTGTTAGCTAGCTGGTGGCTTGCGCCTCTTGCCGCATTGTGGATGACCTCCATGACAACCCGTCGAAACATATTTTTCATTTTATTGTTTATTTGAAAGGAACCATGCGCACCGACGAACACCGCTACAATACCTGCGTAAAAGTATCCAAGTTAGCATACGGCTAATTTACATTCGTAATCCCTTGGCAGGTAACATAAAACAAAGACAAGAGCAGCCGGAGGCTTTATGCAGATATAATTCCGGGTCTCAAACAGGTAGCGACTCGTAGGTGTAAGAAAGACGCGAGAGAAAGTTGCATCCCTTTTTCAGGCCACGGTATTTGTATTTGATTGACATTTGAGCGGGCCGTGGTTTGTTTCAGGGCATTCAGTTGGGCAAGGCAAGGATTTTGAAGCCTCGTTTTATTGACTCGGCAATGTTTTTAACAATTCAAATTTCACAGGGCTCTCGAATTTGCAAGGGAGATTTATTTTCACTATACAGGGACTTAAACTGGTTGGGCTCAAAAGACGTGATCTCCAGGTGTGAAAGCACACTTTCATTATGTTGCTTTGCACTCAGACAAAAAGTCAAGACCTGAATAAATACTTTTGATGGAAGCAGTTTGAGGAAAATGACATGAATGCACCAAATAAAATCTCATACTTAAATGAGAAAATAATAAAATGTTTGGTGTTTCATCACCCCATGATAATTCAACAACAACAACAAAGTCCCAGAATTCATATTTGAAAAGAGAAATAAAACGAACAAATGCGGAAATAAATTTTCATGAACCATTTTTAGGGTATTAGAAACACACCATTTTAGCCGCTGCATATGTAAGATTCATTCCAGTCGTTGAAATGGTGAGCTAAAGTGAACAGTGAATAAAAGAAATCACCTGGCCACGTATACAAAACAAGCGAAGAGCACTTTGGGTGTGTCTGCCGAGATTGTGTGTGCCTGTGCATGTGTGGGCCTTCGTTGCGGAACCGGTTTTCAACCCCCAACACACGCACACGCACACACACACACAAACTCGCCGCCACTTTTTCTCGCTGTCACTCGATTAAATAACTCGACATGATGCTTCCTCATTATTCAGAAATGTATCTGCTCATTTGGTGAAATGAATAAACGTAAATGTCATTTATGTCCTTATTTATATTTTTCATATTGTAGTAAGCAGCCTATCCTTCTGGATGCATCAGTGCTATCTTTCTGTCGCGTGTCATCTACATTTATATAACTCTGTACATTCTCCTACTGTGTTTAGAAGACGGGCACTGTCAGTTTGTTGACTACTCCCACGCCGAGACACACCTTTGGAGGAGGGGGGGGGGGGGAGCAGGTTTCAAGGCCACACCCACATCTATGCTCAGAAGATGAACTTTGTAATTACAGAGTGCAAAAGAAATACTTAAAAGTCTCCTGGTGGGAATTTGGGAGATTCACTTTGAAACATTTAAGATTAGGGACTCGGGTGAAGCGGAGTCCATAATCCTAAATGTGTCGTGTTTGCAGTGTTGTTGTTGGTGTTGTTTTTTTTTTTTACATGGTTCAACATCAAACCCATCTGTAAACATGCATGTTAGATTATGCTCTGTTCATCTGAAAGCCTAACCCTACAACTGAACCTGAGCCTCTAACGCTAAACGCTACCCCTACCACGGACCGTTACAACTTTGAGCTCATTTCTCTAACCCCCGTCCTTCGTCTGAACCACTGACCCCAAAACCTCTCAAATCCAACCATCTAATCCTCATCCTACCTGTAGCTCCTCACAAAATAAAATTCGGTGCAGAAATGAATATGCAGAATGAACGAATGTTCAATATTGAGTTCCAAATTTGAACTATAGGGTGCAAGCAGTCCATTAATTAATTAAGTCCAGCAATTGGGCCAACTCCCATTTCCAAGATGTCTGCGCCCATGTAAGCAGACTTCACTATTCCAGAAAAAAATAGATTTGACAAATGTGTGGTCTAAACTAAAATCTGAGTAAAACCACAATTTCAGTCATTTACAGAAGAAGTCATCATTGCCGTAGAAATCAGAAAAGTGTAAATAAAGCCCACCGACGTTAGCGCAACCCTCCAACACTTGGATTCTCTCCTCTGCAAAAACGACCAATTTGGAATTAGCTCACTCTAGTTCTCAGTGGTTCAAATTCCTCACAAACTAGCGAAACAAGTTGTTTTGATGAATGACTTGTTTTGGGTGCGGTGGCTACTCTAAGACTTTCGTTCAAACTTAGTTTGCTCTTCATGTGAGTCACTTAACTGTGACTCATAGACTCGAGGCCTTGTTTATGCCATCAAGTCTCGGCAATACCGACACCGACCCGTAAACGTCTGGCAAGCTCTCCTCAAAGGACCAGGTGAGGGCCCCAGAGAGACGATTGAAGTCGCAATCTTCACCCCCCGGGCCCAAGTACAACAACTACATGACAAACTTATTGAAGCACACTTTTCAAAGGATTCCTTCACACCTGTTCTACCTTTCTTGCCATTCGAAATCTTCAAACAATTGCTACTTATACACATGCAAACAACATAGAACAAGACTCACAAGCATCTACTGTGTCTCTGCTCTGTTGGATTGATGAATATGATGGCTCTGTCTCTTCTTCTTGCCCTTACATAGGCTCCAGTAAAGCTTATTGCTCCCTGGCATGTTGTGGCATAGCATGGTACTACACTGAAGGTGTGCAATTCTAAATTCAGACATGCTTGTGCAGTGACATCACAATTGATCACTTAAAAATTCGTAATACAGTGGAGGCCAAACACCGGTGGGCCATTTTGCCATTTCAGAACCCAACGGCTGAAATTAAGACGAGAGACCGCCATTTTCTTGCTGCATTTCGACAACTTTTCCAACAGCTCTATTAGCTTGGGCAACCAAGCTAAGCCACCATGAAACTGAGCCGCTGACATATGATCCGGCGACAAAACAGGCCCGACGACTGAAGCGCATGTTTGTCTTCAACGCAGGCAGTGGAAGCCCAGGATGGAGTGATAGCCGCATTGTTCTGCTACTGGAATGAGTTGTCACCACAAACTCACTGACGCTACTTACTCATTTACTCACTTACTCACACTCTCTGGGCGCGGCGCTCCTGTCAGCAGTTTTCGTCGAGACAGTGATTCTCATTGCGGAGAAACTCTTTGGAGCTTTCAAAACGTCAACATATCCGTTGGCTTACAATGACATTTCTGACGTGTTCTCCAAAAATGTGCCCAGAGATTAAATATGATGTAGATTAGATGGTACATTACAAATGCATTAATTATGATGTATGGTAAATTAATATGCTCATATGGTAGACTATAGCTGTATAAACATGATATTTTATATAAGAAGGATACAAGAGAGGTGTAGAGACATTAAATAGTCAACTGCAGCGGCTGAATTACTCTAATGCACTTGACTTTGGAGTCAGCCACTTCTCCATTAAGCGTCTCCAGTTGGTCCAAAATATTGCTGCTTACCTCTTGACTGGGCGGCCCGGTAGTCCAAGTGGTTAGCACGTCGGCTTCACAGTGCAGAGGTTCCGGGTTCGATTCCAGCTCCGGCCTCCCTGTGTGGAGTTTGCATGTTCTCCCCGGGCCTGCGTGGGTTTTCTCCGGGTGCTCCGGTTTCCTCCCACATTCCAAAAACATGCGTGGCAGGCTGATTGACCACTCTAAATTGTCCCTAGGTGTGAGTGTGAGCGTGCATGGTTGTTTGTCTCTGTGTGCCCTGCGATTGGCTGGCAACCAATTCAGGGTGTCCCCCGCCTACTGCCCGAAGTCAGCTGGGATAGGCTCCAGCACCCCCCGCGACCCTAATGAGGATGAAGCGGTTCGGAAGATGAATGAATGAATGAATGAATACCTCTTGACTGGTACTCGTAAGAGGGAGCACATATGACCGGGTGCGTCAAGCAATTTTGGCGAGCTGTCATATTTTATTTCGATTACATTGCACGATTGGAAATGTCAGAACATTAGTGACACTGCAGGATTCAGGGCATTTTTTTCCCCCATGATGACAATGACGCGTTTTCATATTTTACATATAACAAATGGATGCATTGAGGAAAATGTTGTCAGGGGTGAGAAATGTAGGTCAAAATATGGGCTCAAAATGTGTGACGTGATGTGAACGTAGCAAGATGAAGTGAAATAGCAGAGAGTCAAAGGTCACTCGACTTTGTCTTGACTTGTGTGGAAGACAAAAACGCATCCACATTTGCCATTATTGTCAACACAAATGTACGTGGGACACATTTGCCACAAAAGCAGAATGCGTGGCGAATAACGACGGGAACAAAACGGGATCTCATAAAAACAGTCAACCACTTTCAGAGGCGTGTGAACCGAGTTGCGGGCCGAGTGGCGCGCCGAATGGCGAGGCTTCGACAGGACCGACGTGTTCTCACTCTGCTGTGAGGCCAAATATTTCTGCCAAGCTCTCTCTCAGATGCACACGCTAACCTGTCACTGCCTGCTAGGTGTGTGTGTGCGCGCATGCGCGTGTGTGTGCACAGTGAGAACAAAGTACTCCTCCCCTTGATAAATAAGCCTCCTCCCGGGCTGGCCCGTCTCACATTATCAGGAAGCGACGTGGGCCTCGTTTCATGGATGCGGGCGGCAGTCATGATTTTAACGTTTGTGTCGCTGTTGCTGGCCGTAAGTACGAATCCTTGACACGTTTTGACAATTTTTTTTTTTAACCGTGGTTCACCGTCTCAGAAAAAGGGTGTGCAATTTTGGAATGTGAAACTTGGACGTCTTGGGCAGGTGTAGTCATGCCGTATGTTGAATGTAAATAATTGCTCAGGTGTAAGGTGAGTTTGCTGTGTTTATTTGACCCTGGACTGTGTTGATTCCAAATAGATGGTTGTCATGGCGATACATGTGGAAGTCGAACGAGAATCGTCAGTCTTCTGCGGTTTGCATGTAGTCAATTTTTCGAGAGTTTGATAGAAATTTTGTACGAGGTTTCAAATGTTGGTCTAATTGGGGTAAAAATGGCAGAAGTTGGCGAAAATGCATTCGGGTGTCAAATGTGGCTCGAATGTTGTTACGATTGTGCAAACAGTATAAAATTCTAGTTAAGAATGAGTTTAAAAAAATCATCATTTGTGTAAAATGTTGGTTGGAATACAGGTAGATCGTGATTAGAATGTGTGTAAAACAGTCAAATTGGTTCAAAATGGAGGAGATAAGACAGTGAAAATGTTGTAAAATGTGGGATGAAAGTTAGTCACATTGTGGAAAATTTGGAAAATTGTGGTCTAAAAACTGTGTAAAATATTGCCGTTGCTCAAAATGGAGGAAATTGTGTAAAGCGTTGGCTGATGTGTTATCAAATGGCAAAGGTTAGATTTTTCATTGACTCTGTTCGCTTTTGAGTTCAAAGGACATTTACACAAAATCTGATGATCTTTCCAAAATGCATAATTCCACATATGTCTTGACTTACGACGTATCATTTCACAAGTTGACTGGCTAATAATCTGCTTGTTTGTTTTTCAAGGCCGTCTGCTCTTGCCCTCATGAAACCAAAATACCTGCGCGTGAAAAGGACGACCCCGAGAGAACATATTTGCGTCGGTCGTTGAGATAAGCGCATCGTGTTGCAAGGTCAAACTCATTAGCAAGGGCACAATGTTGGACGTCAGACAACGACACCGTCGATATCGGATGATAACGTATTTATGTCGTGTTGAATTGGAATGTAATGACACCGTATCAATATTGGATTATAGCAGGTTGATATCAGATGAGGGCGGCCCGGTAGTCCAGTGGTTAGCACGTCGACTTCACAGTGCAGAGGTACCGGGTTCGATTCCAGCTCCGGCCTCCCTGTGTGGAGTTTGCATGTTCTCCCCGGGCCTGCGTGGGTTTTCTCCGGGTGCTCCGGTTTCCTCCCACATTCCGAAAACATGCGTGGCAGGCGGATTGGGCACTCTAAATTGTCCCTAGGTGTGAGTGTGAGCGTGCATGGTTGTTCGTCTCTGTGTGCCCTGCGATTGGCTGGCAACCAATTCAGGGTGTCCCCTGCCTACTGCCCGAAGACAGCTGGGATAGGCTCCAGCACCCCCCGCGACCCTAATGAGGATGAAGCGGTTCGGAAGATGAATGAATGAATGAATGATATCAGATAATAACCAGGCCACGTATCACCATTTTTCGGCTCTCTCAAACTGAGCTGCAGATAGGCTGGAAAGTTGACATTTACATTACATTTGAACACAAAACAACATTTAGTGGTATACGCTAATCCTAGTCTGATTTTTTTTCAGATGGTCACGTGACGTTGAAATGTTTTTCTGCTCTCTTGGAACAGTTTCGGGCAGCATTACAGTTAGGGCCTGTCGGAATAGTTTCATGTTTGGGTAGCCTTCGGGTCGGGTGGGATTCACATTAGCATCTCTCAGAAAAGTTGACGGTCAAATTTGAGTCAGGGGTCGGGTTCGTGTTGCTTCTAGTCGATTGCAAGAGTTGTGAATTTGCTTCATTCACACCACACACTGCCGCAGAAAAGATACCGACGCCGATTGAGGGCTGTATAAACAAGCAATTTAAAAATACTCTCCAAATATTCAAACTTACTCGACAATGAAGAAATATGAGTTCGATATTATTGCGATATTTAACATGAACTGAAAGAAATGACATCTCTGTTATCAAGGGTTTACGCTCCTATTTGGACTTTGATGTTGCTAGCTATTGCTAACTTCTGCAGCGATGTGGGCGAAGACGTACCAGCAGAAATTCCCTCGGGGAAAGTTTCTTCATGCCCATTCTGTACATTCTTTACGAACTGCATGTGCTAACTTGATGATTTTGGCAGCCAAAGGATGCGCTGCCACGCCCGCTTATGGGAGTTTGTGTCACCGTTGCTCACCTGCGCGCATGCGGCACGGACTCCAGTCTGCGTGCGTGGCCGCTAGACAGGCTGGTTGACAGCGAGTCGGGTAGCTAGGGTGTGTCGGCCGCTCCTTGCAGCGTTCACGTGTGTCTGGTAGCTCGCATGGGGAGCGACAGATTCAATGCGAACTTGGATGTTAGGGTGAGACTGAAGGATTAGGGTTGATGTTAGGGTGTTGGGCTTAGGAGGGCTGGGTGTTGTGATGTTGGAGTGTCAGGGATACGGTTTTAGGATATTAGATTTGGCGTTTGGGTCTTGAGGGAAGGGACAAGGTGTGGGGTGCTAGGTTTCTGGTGTTAGGGAGTCAAGATTTTTGCTCATGAAGATTTGGGCGAGGTTTGAAAAGTAAAAGATATGTTTCACTCGATACCAAGACTTAATGAAACTGTTAGGATGCCACGTTTAGGGTGAATGGGCCTTGGGAGGGTCTGTGCTACATGAGTGTTTACTTCCTACTGGGGACTTTGAGGACTGTTGACAAGTGCAGGGTGTGCACGTAAAGTCCGCCTGACTTCCTGTCACTTCGCCACCGCTTCAACGTTCGGTTGCAGGTCCGACAGGTTTGTCCACATTCAGCCGCGACTTGCGCCTTCGGACGACAGTCAGCGCCTCAGGCTCACGTAACAGTGGGAAGAAGCGTAAAGCGTTTGATATGAAGGGTCGGAAAAGTCATCAAATTGGGTGAAAATGTCGCTAAGTCTTGCTCGCTAGTTCACTTGCGTCAAACATGTTTCCACATCAAAAGCACAAATTTCACAATAAAAGCATTGCATATTTTGTGCTGTACTTTGACATTATGGTCACTGTGAGGACCAATCAGAAAATGTAGGCAAGCCAGATGTGCCCTAATTTGCCCAAGCTTGTACTAACTATACCATAAAACATTTTAGGTTGTGAATGTAAACAAAAGGGAGCAAGAATAGTCAGTCAGCAGGGTTACAGTATATGAGGCAACGGCACACGGCTTCATAAATACTATAAATAAACATCACGACGTGAACTGTTTCGCCAACTCCAGACGGCTGCCCTGGTGGAGGGTGATGAAGTCCTATCCAGACGAAAAAGACACTGGGTCCCCCCGCCAAAGGTTCTCATAGAAAACACGGACTACTCCAACGAACTCTATGTGGCGAAAGTGAGTACAGTACAGTCTGATCCGGTACAGAGCAGCATTCATTTATTAGACGTTTGCTTTGGTGCCCCCATGTGGTCCAATTGTGCGATGAAGGAATGGTGTTGATTCATCATCCATCACTTTACGTTTCAGATCCACTCGGACTTTGATGACGGGAAGGGGAACCTGGCCTACTCCCTGGAGGGCGTGGGCGCCAACCAGTACCCTTTCCACCTGTTCGTGGTGGACCCCAGAACGGGCTACATTAAGCTCACCAAGAAACTCGACAGGGAGGAATACAGCACGTACAATGTGAGTTGGGGGCGGAGCCATCTAATATCAAAAACCATATCCAAATAAGGCTTGAAATACTCATTTTAAACCCAAACGCTAGTTTGAGATGCTGGACCATATTTGAAACCCTAAACCAGACGTGAAACCAAGTCAAGACACATTTATTTTTCTGGCCCATAATCACAGAAATGTCTCAAAGGGCTTTATAATCGGGAAAACAGTGAAAACTAATGCTATGTTTACATATGATGTCATAAAACAAAAGAGGGCCAAGTACCGATCCCTGCCGAACTCCATTGTGTAACATTGCCAAAGTCAGTACGTCCGTTCCGAGAGGTAAAAACTAAACCAAGAAAGCGCCGTGACTGAAATACCAATACAAGTTTCAAGGCATTCAAATAGTATCTTATGAATGATCAATGATCAAAGCAGCGCTAAGATCGAGGAGTAATAGTATTGATGAGGAAGCCTAATTTGAAACTATAACCCTGGTTAAAAACCCTTTTCGTCAAGACTGTGACATTGATGGCCACGGGTTCAATACCAAAGCTGTGCAGTACGGTCTGGCCGCAAGTTTGTCAACTGACCGGTCACCGTGCTTGCAGCTGTCGGGAGTGGCGACCTACACAGATGGCAGGCAGGCGGAGAAAAACATCGACATCCGCTTCAGGGTGGGGGACCAGAACGACAACTCTCCTGTCTTCAATGTCATCCCAGCCGGCGCGGTCAATGAGCGCAGCGGCGTAGGTGAGCAGATGGGTCGCCTCGGCGGGGTTGGGCTTGACCGCGGCCGTGCATGATTGGTCATCCCTCCTCTTGTTGCAGGGACGTACGTCATGAAAATCAGTGCAACGGATGCCGACGAGCCGGGAAATCCCAACTCTCAGATCGCGTACAGCCTGGTGTCTCAGGATCCGCCTGACGACATGTTCTACATGGAGAATGATGGGACAATCTACGTCAAACGCACCAACTTGGACAGAGAAGTACGGCGTGGACATGCCTTTCAACACTACCCCTTGAAACTCTCAGCCAGAGGAGAAACCTTAACCTTGGCTTGAAGAAGCAAAACCTCAGTCCTTAACTTCAAACACTATAGCAGTCTGAAAAGCATAATTTGAAACCTTACCCTCGTAAACCCTCATCCATGCTTTAAACTCTAACCCTATGTTAAAACGCACATTTGAAACTCTTACCCTTAAAACCGACCCTATTCAGCCTCAATACCCTAATTTGATTCCTTTCCTGTTTGAAATGCGAACCACATCCGCAAACCTTAATTTGTAACCTTATCCCTGGCTTAAAACCCCAGTTTAAACTTTAGCCTTTGTGTTTTTGCGCCGCCACCATTTGACCTTTCAGAAAACGGAGCAGTACACGCTTACGGTGAAGGGTCAGGATCTTAATGGCGCGCCAGGCGGGAACAGCGCCACCAGCACTGCCGTCGTTAAACTGTACGATGTCAACGACAACCAGCCCACCCTGGAAAAGAGCGTGGTACGTCATCTGCAATTGCCATTGCCTTGATTTTAGTGAGCTTAATACAAGTCCATCACCTCTATCCCATGTATATATAGTACGAAGGCAGCATCTTGGAGAACACGGAAGGTGTTGAGGTGATGCGGATCAAAGCGAAAGACCTGGACCTGCATGGGACGGACAACTGGAAAAGTGTTTTCAAGATCGTCAAAGGCAACGAGGCCGGGTATTTCAGCATGATCACCGACTCCAAGACCAACGAGGGCGTCCTCATGCTCGATAAGGTACAAAATGCCAAGTAACTCATGATTCGGTGGTGATTCACTTTCGACGTTTGAACTTGGCCATTGTACTTAAAAGCATGTGTCCTGTTCCAGGCTGTGGATTATGAAGACGTGAAGAACTTGGACCTGGGAATCGCTGTGCTGAACTTGGTTCCACCTTTTGACCCATCTGACCCAACCACAGCTAACATAGGTTTTGGT